ACTCTGGTCTCCAGGTGTCGAATGTTTCTTACCCTGTGTCGCTGCTTTTGTAGGGTAGGAATTATTGACCAATCGAATCATTGTATTCTTTTACGAGCCAATAGTGTCTATTTCTTCACAGTAGTGTGGAAAAGGTGTGTTTTTCCTTTCGTAAAAGTAATGTGGAACAGAGGAAGTACTACGTACAGTGTAAAACTACTACGTAGTATTAATGCAGTTCTTCAACACTTGGCACGAAACCTATCGTGTATACTTACCGACAAACTTGTAGTTCTATTCCTCCTATGTCGACAAACATAACTAATTTAATTATACCACGTAGAAACTTCAACATGTTCACAAGTGAATATACACATGATTGATGTTGATTTGCTCCACGTACTGTACCGGCCGGTGCTATGTTCACCGTCGAGTAGGCATTGCCTAAACTTTAACCTATTCTTGGTCATTTTGCGCTTCTGTACTTCTTCGACATCAGGTATATTGAAGGTGACCTGTGACATTTGTTTCGTCGCTGGAACCACATTCGAACCAGATTGTCAACAATCTTCTTCTGGATTGTCTAGGCAAGAATATTGCAATGTGTGTCCAATCAAATACGTTAACTTCTTCGGTACTTTCAAATATATTTATATACAGCAGTGTAACTTTCATCGGCTTGTACCAGCCAGCACTGTATATACCAAGAGAAGCTCAAATGCTATCATGGCGAACTTTCGAAACGGGTGCGGGTGCATTTTTAATGAAAATCAAATCGAATGGGTTCAGTAATATCCTCGAAACCCGCTTTCCCTTGGCGCGAGGATATTTGGCTTGACTTGATTACTGTAATAGAGTGCTTTAGTAACAGTAAAGTAACGGTACTATGTATCCGGACGTGTTGAGTGAGGATTGTCGACAAATACTTATAACTATGGATAGAGACCCAAATCAATGTGCAACCTCATGGTGGTAGGCATTGGCATTGTTCGACTCGTTCCTCTCTCTCATTCTTGAATTGACTCCACGATGAAAACCGCTGTCGTCTTGTCTGTCGTGGCCGTCGCCACGGCCACCCTGGGTATGATCGGGGCTGGCGTAGGGGCCGGCATAGGGGCCGGCCTTAGCATTGGGGCCGGCCTTAACGTAGGGGCCGGCCTTAACGCAGGGGCCAGCGGTATCATCGGGGCCGGCGTGCTTCTAGCGCTACAAAGCTCTGCCACCGTTTCTGTGTCTGTGGCCGTTGACGAATCTGTTTCTGGCGTGGCGAACCTACCCGAATGCGGCAACGCGATTGGGGGTGTGATTCAATGTAACGCCGTGACCAAGCCACAAATCGATTGCCTGGCGGCCTTGCCCGGGGTCCAAAAGATCGTTACTGTCGGTGCCGGTCTCAACATCACCCCCTAGCCTACCACCACCGCGGTTGCCCCTACGCCTAGCGCGTGTGACGAGAAGACGTCACTTCGGATGTCCGTGACTAAGCGGTGAAGGTCAAGCCCCGTTGTCGCTGTCGTGTTTTAAACTTTGAATATACGAGATTGATTGAAATGCTAACAAAATGTACTGGGTTTGAAGCATCATATTAGTATGCTCTTAATAGAGATGCAGGGAAAATACCATAACGATACCACCAAAATGAAGCTTTGCGTATTATAGTGCTGTAGCTAAGGTGGTAATTACTTCAGCACGTGGTCCAAAGTGTTCTCCCTCCTACTCGTATCCCTTGTCGTCTGTTCATACCAATCGACTCAACGACGTCGCGGCTCTATCCCAATACACACGACCCCCACCCCATTTCAGTGACGTTGTGATGCTAATGTCAGCGACCGGAAACCCAATACGTTGCGGGGAAGGCACGGACCAAGGAATCGAAGCCCAAATACATCATGGAATTATAGCTTCTAAAAGAAAAAGTCGTTGACGAATTGCTGTCCGTCACAACGCAAACGGGATTGGCATCGGTCCT